CATATTCTTACATATTTTTAATGCATCTGTGCCCAGTTCAAAATGAAGACTCTTGGTTTTGATCTAAGCAGAAACTGACCCCCAGGCTAAGAGAACAAATTGCTGCCTTTCTGGAACAGCTGCAGAATAAAACACGAGGCCTGCCCTGTGGACACAGAGGCCCAGATGCAAACCCCAGGGGCCCGATAGAGAGAGGGATTCCGACCTGGGAGCCCCCGAGACACAGAGCCCCCGGGGCTGATGCGCATCACAGACGTAAGGACTCACATTTCCTTCGGGGTTACGGCCATCCGCGCTCTGACCAGGTCCAGGGGGTAGGTCAGTGAAGCGGCTGTCGTTCCAGCCAGTGCGCCGGCGAAGAGGCGAGGCCAAGGGGGCAGGGCTCTGAACAGGGCAGGGGGAGAAGGCGAGACGCCAGTGAGGGGACTGCAGATGCACAGAGGCCCAGCCTGGAGCACACGCACGTCTCTGCTGGGGCGGGGACAGGGGTGGGGACCGAGGAACACGAGGCGGGTTTGGCTTTCTGGTGGCCAAGATGATGGGGTCTCTGGAGTGGGCCTCATTTTGAGGTTCACATGGCTGCCTTCCCTTCCCCGCTGCTGGCATAAATTAATCAATGATACGTATTTTCCCTGCGGCCCAGGGGGCATAGTGGCCTGTCTCTCTGGGATTTATGTGTGGGGGTGGAGAAACGTCTGGAGACAAACGGGCAAAGGAGAGGAGCTCTGAAGACAGAATAGGGCATGTGACAGAGTCAGGGGGCGCCTCAGGAGGGCCTGGGTGAGGAATCTCCCGGTGTTTCATTGGGGGAAGAGGGAGTGCGGGGCTAGGGGCAGGGCACCGAGAAGAAAACGCGGAGAGGGCGGGGCATAGGGAGGGCAGGGGGCAGGGCGTGCAGAAGAAAGAGAGACGGGCGGGCGTGGGCGGGGCGATTCTGGGGCAGGGCAGGGCAGGGCGGGGCCTCACTCTCCGCGGAAGCCATAGTAGCTGCCCAGGATGCGCTTGTACTCTTCGTGGGCGCTGAACTGGATGGCGGCGTAGGGCACCACGCGCACCATGGTGGCCGAGTTCCCGCGCCACAAGCTGAGAAAGCCCTCGTTGAGGTAGGTGTAGTAGAGGACCCGGAAGGCCTCCTGGAGATAAGCGGGGAGGTCAACATCCCTCCGCCTCTGCCTGCCCTCCCTGTGCGCCTGTGTGACCAGCAGAGCGCTGAAAGTGCGGAGGCGGGGCCAGGGTGACCCCATCTCCATGCACAGTAAACACCCCCACCCCCATGTGAGGGCCCCACCCCGATTTGTCCAGACTGACATTATCAACCCCAGCCCCGTCCCTCCTTCCTATGTTTTCTGGGCCTCCCACCCCAGCAAGTTCTCCATCCCTGGGGACTGCAAAGCGAACTAGGCTGCAAAGCAGCTCGGAGCCTGCCCGAGGGCATGTCTGTTGGTGTTTGGCATTCTAGCTTTTACAGTTTATCTTTTTCTTTATTAAGAAGATAGCACCTGCTCTCTAACAATAAATCAAACATGAAAGGTTGTTTTAGAGCTGTCGAGTCTCCCCACCCCACTGCCGGAAAGACACTCGGGATGTCCCGTCAATTCCCAGGCTGGGCTGTGTCCAGGCAGAGCTGGGGATGGGAAGACAGGTAGTCCTGTCCCCACCCCTGAGACTCAGATCACCTGCCTAACTCCTGCCAGCCCAGCAGGGTAGCGGTGACTGTCCCCAGGCCAGGGCGGTGACATAGTGGCTCACCTTGGCAGAAAATCTTTTTGAAGACACTGGAAAAAACAGAAGCACAAAAGCCACTGAGAACCTCGCGTCTGCGTGGCCCCACCCCCGGCACCCCCTAGCAGAGTCGCCCTCCTCTGCCCCCCAATCTTGTCCCAGGAATGGGAGCTGAGCTGACACCCAACCCCCAGAATAGTGAGGGTCTCCAGTGAGAGAACGTGTCTGAGATGGGTTGGCACTCAGCCCCCTGTCCCTGGACTAGACTACTATTCACCCAAACTCCTGCAGTGAAGGTGTCCCAGCCGCCAGGCACTTGGGCCTCAGCTGAAAGCCCTGGCTCTCAGAACAAGGCTTGCCGGTTCTACGTGTTCGGTCAGTCCTCTTTTCCGGACATGCCCCTCCCAGGGCCCCAGCACAGGCACCGCTATCCTGCCTCTCCCACCCCCTGTGGCTGCCGGGTTCCCTCTCTGGTTCTGTGCTGCCCTTGGGCATGGGGGACCCGAGCCATGTTGGGCCATGAGCACTCTTGGGAGAGACCCAGAAAAATGGGCCACAAACGGTCACCAGGAGCCTCTGATGGCCTGGCAGCCCGCTTCCCTCAGCCCTCGCCCCCCACCACTTGTGTGTGCAACGTGCATGCATGCCTGCTGCCTCCAGGGTTGAACCCCAGTTCCCTGAAGAACACAACACCCCGCACCTGCTCATGCGCACTTAAAGGGGCCTGCCCTGGCCAGGCGCAGTGGCTCAAATCTGTAATCCCAGCACTCTGGGAGGCTGAGGCGGGTGGATCACCTGAGGTCAGGAGGTCGAGACCAGCCTGGCCAACATGGCAAAACGCTGACGCTACTAAAAAAAAATACAAAAAAATTAGCTGGGCATGGTGGCAGACTCCTGCAATCCCAGCTACTCGGGAGGCTGAGGCAGGAGAATCGCTGAAATTCGGGAGGTGGAGGTTGCGGTGAGCCGAGATCGTACCACTGCACTCCAGCCTGGGGAACAGAGAGACTCTGTCTCAAAATAAATAAATAAATAAAAGGGCCTGCCCCTTTTGAAGACCTGCCAGCTCACTGGATGCCCATGCCTGCCAAGGAGGACGCTGATATTCATGCCTCCACTTTATGGAGGAGGAAACTGGGACACAGAGAGGGTAGGGGATCAGCTCAAGGTGGTGGGAAGGGCCTGGCTGAAGCCTGCAGATTCTTCCCAAACAGCTGAGGGGCAGAGGGCCCCGGCCGTAACCATCTTGCTTCTGGGCCCTGGGCAGGAACTGGTAACTGTTTGAGGGGGGCAAAGGCCACCTCTTCAAAGGACTCTGCGAATGTTTAACCCTAGGGAGGGAGGGTGAGGGTTTCTGTTAAGGGTTTAATTTCTGTCCTCCGAAAAGCTGTGTCCAAATTCTAACCCCTAATCCCCAAGAAGATGACCTTATCTGAAAGCAGGGCCTCTGCAGATGTAATAGAGTTAAGGTAAGGTTGTACTGGGTTAGGGTGGGCCCTAAATGCAAATTGGTGTCCTTATAAGAAGAGAAAACAGGCCGGGTGCGATAGCTCATGCCTGTAATCCCAGCACTTTGGGAGGCCAAGGCGGGTGGATCACTTGAGGCCAGGAGTTCAGGACCAGCCGGGCCAACACGGCGAAACCTGTCTCTACTAAAAATACAAAAAAATTAGCCAGGCATGGTGGTGCGTGCCTGTAGTCCCGGCTAGTCAGGAGGCTAAGGCAGGAGAATTGCTTGAACTGGGGAGATGGAGGTTGCAGTGAGCCAAGATCACATCACTGAACTCCAGCCTGGGTGACAGAGTGAGAGTCTATCTCAAAAACAAACCAACAAAATAAATATACAGAGAGAAAACAGACACACACGTGATGACAGATGCAGAAATTGGAGCCATGCAGCCACAAGCCAAGGAGAACCAGGAGCCCCCAGAAGCTGGAAGAAGTAAGGAAGATCCTCCCCTAGAGCCTCTGGAGGGAACGCAGCCCTGCCCACACCTATAGACTTCTGGCCCCAGGACTGTGAGAGAAGAAATTCCTGTTGTTTGAGGCCACCTGGTTTGTGGTCTGACAGTAGCCCCAGGAAACTCGTACAGATTTGAAGTGGATTTTATTTATTTATTTATTCATTCATTCGTTCATTCATTCATTCATTCATTCATTCATTCATTCATTCATTTATTGAGACAGAGTCTCTCTGTCACCCAGGCTGGAGTGCAAAGCCGCGATCTCGGCTCACTGCAACCTCCGCCTCCCAGGTTCAAGCGATTCTCCTGACTCAGCCTCCAGAGTAACTGGGATTGCAGGTGCCCGCCACCATGTCCAGCTAATTTTTATATTTTTAGTAGAGGCGGGGTTTCCCCATGTTGGCCAGGCTGCTCTCAAAACTCCTGACCTCAAGTGATCCATCCACCTCGGCCTCCCAAAGTGCTGGGATTACAGGCAAGAGCCACTGCGCCCGGCCTCTAAGTGGATTTTAAAGAGACATTAAAAAAAACCCAATTTGAGTACAGTGGAGCACACCCATAGTCCCAGCTACTTGGGAGGCTTAGGCAAAAGGATCACTTGAGCCCAGGAGTTTAAGGCCAGCCTGGGCAACAGAGAAAAACCTCATTTCTAAAATAAATCTAAAAAAAAAAAAACAATTTGAAGCATGGTTTAGGGGCCATGAAGGAGGAGGTGACCGCCTGGCAGCTTCTCTATCACATGGGGAAGGACAACACTTACCTTGGAAGATGATTTTGGTTCGGTCCAGGGGGGCTACTGCTGTTTTGGCAAGGGCGCCAGCCAGGGCCCCAGACAGCAGGGAGCTGAGCACTTGCCTGTGGTCACGCTGCAACAGAACACGTGATCAGAGGTCAGAGGGCAGGGGGTCTGTTCTGCAGAGGACCGTGCCCCAGAAGTGCCTTCCTTACACCCTCTGGGCCAGGGCCAAGGGATGCACCCCACCCTGAGTGTGTTGGCGCTGCTTGGTTCTGGGTGATCCATGGTGGGTCCACAGGCCACAGTGAAAACCTCCCAGGATAACAGGGACCATCCACGTTGGAGGTGAGGTGTGCAGGTTTCACATTCTCAGAGACAGGCTCACAATAGGACTGGCCTACGTGCAAACTTCTGTTCCCTCCACAGCCTGTGTGCACCTGACTATGGCACTGTGGCATTTTAGGTACACAGGGACTGAAAACAGGCACTAGGGACCGATGTGGTCAGGGGGTTGGCAGTGGGTATCAGGCAAGCAGACCTTGACTCTGTGCCAGCGTGTCCCTTCCCACAACTTCCGATCAGGACTCCGGAGGTTGGCATCTATGACTCTTCATCCAGCCCAGTTGAGGGGGTGACAGCGACACTGATGATGGCTGCCAACTTGCGTTGACTACTCCCATGCCAGCTCGAGAGCCATCGCTTTCTGGAGTCCCTCTGGAGCTGCCTAAGGCCCCTGCTCCCCCACAGCCCTCCCTCCTTCCCAGGAAGGTCGCACCGCACAGGAGTGTGTCCGAGCCCTGTGGGATCCCATGGGTACCACCTGCCCATCAGGCTGGAGTTTCCATTTCCCCTGCTGACTCGGCCACGGGACTCTCACTGAGAAGTGGCAGAGAGCATTCTGGAAAGTTCTGGATGGGAGGTGCTCTGATTCCATTTCCCCAGTGGACTCGGCCACGGGACTCATTGAGAAGTGGCGGAGAGCATTCTGGAAAGTTCTGGATGGGAAGTGCTCTGACCTTTCCTTGCCCTGCAGTGCTTTGCTGTCTGAACGTAACGTGGATGGGCAGGTTGTTCAGCAGCTCCCAGGGATCTGTGAAGTCCCACTAGGCACAGGCTTCCTGAAGGGCCTGGAGTCCCACAGTGCAGGGTGGGGGTGTGTGCAAGACTCCTCCTTTCCCCATGGTGCCGCTGGTCCACACAGAGAGCCAGATGCCAACAGAATCATCAGATAAATGCAAATACAACCACCCATTGGGAAGGTGCCGCGAGGAGGTGGCCCAGGGTTCTGCAAGAACTCTGGGTAGGGGGGTGAGAGGCTGATCTTGAAGGATGAGGTGCAGGTCACTTTGGGGTGTGTGTCATAGTATTAGGTGGGGAGGAATGAACACTCAGAGGCTAGGGTGAAAAGGAGCAGGGGACCCTGGGGGACCACAAGGAGGGCAGATTTGCTGGCACAGGGAAAGGGAGGGGGCCCAGATAATAGAAAGGAGATGGGAAAGAGAGGTGGGTGCCAGACCCCACAAAGCCTGGCAAGGAGGGCTGTTCTTTGCCCAAATAAATGGGCAATTTTTTTTTTTTTGAGACACAGTCTCGCTCTGTTGCCCAGGCTGGAATGCAGTGGTGTGATCTCAGCTCACTGCAACCTTTGCCTTTCAGGTTCAAGCAATTCTGCTCCCTCAGCCTCTTGAGTAGCTGGGATTACAGGCAAGCACCATCATGCCTGGCTAATTTTTGTATTTTTAGTAGAGATGGGGTTTCGCTATGCTGGCCAGGCTGCTCTTGAATTCCTGGCCTCAAGTGATCTGCCTGCCTCGGCCTTCTGAAGTGCTGGGATTACAGGCATGAGACACCATGCCCGGCCTAAATGGCCCATTTTTAATATGACCAGAGTGGGGCTGGGCACTGTAGCTCATGCCTGTAATCTCAGCACTTTGGGAGGCCGAGATGGGCAGATCACCTGAGGTCAGGAGTTCGAGACCAGCGTGCCCAACATGGTGAAACCCTATCTCTACTAAAAATATGAAAATTAGCCGGACATGGTGGTGGGTGCCTGTAATCCCAGTTACTCATAAAATTGAGGCAGAAGAATCGCTTGAACTCGGGATGCCAAGGTTGCAGTGAGCCGTGATTGTACCACTGTTCTCCAGACAGGGTGACACAGCGAGTCTCCATCTGAAAAAATAAAGAATAAAAATAACAATGTGACCAGGGTAGAAGTGGCTCCTGCAGAAACCCAGGATAGATATGGTGGAGGCTGGAGATGGGGAAGGGATGTGGGAGCACTTCTCAGGTGTAACAGGCAGCCAGAGTCAGACTGAGCATGGCTGCCCCCACCTCTAGAGTTTGCTCAACTCAGTGGGTGGCTTGGGGTGAAGAGCTGGGCCTGAGTCTGTCCACACACCTGGCCTGAATCCCAGCTCTGCCCTGACTGAGCTCAGGCAGAGGGTGCCCTCTTTGGTCTCCCAGTCCTCATCGTTGAAACAGCAAGGTGCCAGCTCTCAGACCCTCTCCCACATGTCCTGGGCTACCCAGCAGCCTTGCACCCCCAGTCCGGTTCCACAGAACACGGCCTTCTTTTCCTCAGTGCCCTCAGGGTCCCCTCCACCAGCCCAGCCCTCCCTTCCTCAAAGGGACAGATTGCACAGCGATTTTGTTTCTGAGGTCAAACTTCGCCATGGGGTTTGATCTTCTCCTAGCTTCTTGGAGGCCTGTCTTTGGGGGCCTCTGCCTTTTCTGGGACATGCAGCCAGGTTGCAGACGTCTGGTTCCACGAGCTTTGAGAAATGTGGGCGCTTGGTGGTCGTCCCAGCAGCAGTCCAAGGCTGTACCAGCCAGCCAGTTTCTTCTCTGAATCAGTCGGACCAGCTGTTCCCCTCTGGAATGGGCCTCTGTGTGCAAATGGAATATTCCATGGAGAGTGCCTCCCTGTGCCCTGCTGGCGACACAGAGTTCTTCCACCTCCTCCATTTGGTGTTTACCTCCTATCAGTTTGTCCTTTTGTTTGCTTGTTTGCTTGTTTTTTGAGACAGAGTCTCGCTCTGTCCACCAGGCTGGAGTACGGTGGCGCAATTTTGGCTCACCACAACCTCTGCCTCCCAGGTTCAAGTGGTTGTCCTGCCTCAGCCTTCCCAGTACCTAGGATTACAGGCGTGCACCACCCTGCCTGGCTAATTTTTGTATTTTTGGCAGAGATGGGGTTTCTCCACGTTGCCCAGGCTGGTCTCGAATTCCTGAGGCTCAGGTGATTGCCTGTCTTGGCCTCCCAAAGTGCTGGGATTACAGGCCCAGCAGAGGCTCTTAACATTACAAAGCCAACTCTGTGTTGTTTGTTTGAGATAGGATCCCACTGTGCCACCAGACTGGAGTGCAAGTGCATGATCATAGCTCACTGCAGCCATGACCCCTTGGGCTCAGGTGATCCTCCCACCTCAGCCTCCTCAGTAGCTGAGACCACAGATGTGTGCCACCACACCCAGCTAATTTTATTTTTTTGCAAAGACAAGGTCTTGCTGTGTTACCCAGGCTGTTCTCAAACTCCTGGGTTCAAGCAGTCCTCCCGCCTTGGCCTGCCAAAGTGCTGGGATCTCTAGTGTGAGTCACCATGCCTGGCCAATGCTAAATCTTAGTATCGGGAACACACATCCATAAACTGCACCTCTCAAGGCGGCCACCAGTGGCACCTGGAGGACGTGTGTTTGGCCGACACTTCCAGCTCCTCTCTAATGGACACAAACACCTTATTATCCAAAGAGCTGGGAGCAGGCATCACTGACGGGTCAAAGTTTCAAGATCCATCATGTGGGGAGATCCTACAGAGGAAGAATTTGTTGGCCAGGCAGGTGACAGAGAGAAAGTGGACGATCCCGGATAGGATGCATGTTGGCCGTAAACACCATGGGAAGAGGCTCAGTTTTTTTTGTTTTTTTTTTTCTGAGACAGGGTCTCACTCTGTCACCCAGGCTAGAGTGCAGTGGTGTGATCTCAGCTCACTGCAACCTCCACCTCCTGAGTTCAAGCAATTATCCCACTTCAACCTCATGAGGAGCTGGGATTACAGGTGCGTGCCACCACGCCTGGCCAATTTTTGTATTTTTAGTAGAGACGAGGTTTCACCATGTTGGCCAGGCTGGTCTCGAACTCCTGACCTCAAGCAATCCTCCCACCTTGGCCTCCCAGAGTACGGGGATTACAGGCATGAGCCACCATGCCCAGCCAAGGCTCAGCTTCTTAACCAAAGAAAAGAGACTTTGCAGAGTGAGTCCCTCCCACCTTGGGGCTGGCCAGGCAGACCAAGAGTAATGTCTTCAGGGCCTGCCAGCACAGAGGAGAATGGGCATATGTGTGTGATGCCCAGCAAATGACCAGCACTGGCGCATTTCTGCATGTGGTTCGGCAGCCATCGCTGCCTCGAGCTTGTCCACGTGGCGGGATCCACATTGCAGAACCCCTCCTCTCTGGCATGCAGAGCAACAGCCGTATCCGGGTGTTCTTCCAGCTCTTTTGGGACCTTCACTAAACTTCAAGGCATGTGCCTGCCCTATGCCTCAGTCACCTGGTGGTAACCCCAGTAAACGAGTCCTCCCGCCCACCTGCTGCTCTGAGGTGTCACCTGGAATCCGGGGAAAGGTCAGGAGGCCTGGAAAATGACGCCACCTCAGTCTTTGACCCCATGGACTTTGAAAACTGCCTGTGCGGTCGGCCTGAGTCGGGCCCTGGGAGTGCAATGGTTTCTGCGTGGGGCTGGGTTGGTCTGTGTTTCAGGTTCAGCTGATAGGACTTAGGGGCCAGTGGGGGTTCTGGTTTCTACGGTGAACAACAACAGGGCTGCCCAATTGCTTTGAGAGAATGTCTTTTCTTCAGTGGAACTGTGGACTTAAGAGGTGAACTTGGAAACACAGAGTAAAGCCCAAGCATGCCCACCCGCTTTGGCTCTCTGCATTTGCCTTTTTTTTTTTTTTTTTTTTTGAGACAGGGTTTTACTCTATCGCTCAGGCTGGGGTGCAGTGGCACAATCTCGGCTCACTGCAACCTCCGCCTCCTGGGTTCAAGCAATTCGAATGCCTCAGCCTCCCAGGTAGCTGGGATTACAGATGTGTGCCACCACGCCTGGCTAATTTTTATATTTTTAGTAGAGATGGGGTTTCACCATGTTGCCCAGGATGGTCTCAAACTCCTGGTCTCATATGATCCTCCCACCTCAGCCTCCCAAAGTGCTGGGATTATAGGCGTGAGCCACCACACCTGGCCTTGGCTAATTCCTTAGTGTTCCAAAATCTGAGGGAGAAAAGGGGGCTCCAAGACACGTCTGATACCTCAGGCTTCTCACCCCACGCTGGCGCTGGGTGAGGTTTTTGCCTCTTACCAGGTGGCTGGGCTGGTTGGATTCACATCACCACAAGCAGGGCTTTCGGTGGAATAGAGGGTGGCTGGTGTCCTCCATCCCCTGACCTTACAGTATCTAGGGCTGTGGGAGCAGAGAGGCTCTGCCACTCCACCCTCAGCCCAGGTGGGCAGGGGTACCAACATGCACATCCTAGGTGCAGGGTGATTTGTGATGGGGTGCATGGAGCACAGGAGAGGGATCTCTGAACCTGTTTGGAGAGGGCGCAGAAGCTAGGAGGAGGGGGCGGGGAGCCTGGGAGTGGGGGTGGGGAGGCTGGGGCCCCAGGAGAACACCCACCCCGGGAGGCCGGGGTACTTGCCTTTGATGAGACGGACGAGGACAGGACAGCCTCGGCATCCTCACGCAATCGCACCGGGCCTTCCTTCACACCATTATCCATACCAGGCCTGCTCGGAATGGCAGGAGACTCGGTCCTGGGGGGGTAAGGGGAGGTGGTAAGATACGGCGAGATCCTGAGAGATGGCGGGTGTTCCCACCAGCCTTTTCCTATCCCGGTTTCTGGCTCCCTGCATGGGGAGGGATGCCCTCAACTGCATTCTGCGGCCACGGTCCTGTGTGTATTGCTTAATCATTTACAAAAGCCTTTCTTGTTGGCACTGGAATGTAATCCTCACAAACAGTCTGTTCTTTTTCCAAATCTGGTGCCCAGGGAGCAAACAGGCTCAGAGAAGTTAAGCAGCCAGCCAAGGTCACACAGCTACCAGCGGGTTGTGGGGCTAGCGTGGCCGAGGTGCTCAGTGCTCCGTGCCAACACTGAGGTGCTTGGTGCCAATACCACTGTGGGGCCACACATCCAGTGGGCTTGTGTCAGCTTGGACCCGAGGGTCTCTGTCCACCGAAATTATTTATTATTTATTAATTAATTTATTTGTTTTTTTGAGACGGAGTCTCACTCTGTCACCCAGGCTTGAGTGCAGTGGCACGATCTTGGCTCACTGCAACCTCTGCCTCCCAGGTTTAAGCAATTCTTGTGCTTCAGCCTCCCAAGTAGCTGGGACTACAGGCGCCCGCTACCACACCCAGCTAATTTTTTATTTTTAGTAGAGATGGGGTTTCACCATGTTGGCCAGGCTAGTCTCGAACTCCTGACGTCAAGTTATCTGCCCGCCTTGGCCTCCCAAAGTGCTGGGATTATAGGCATAAGCCACCGCACCTGGCCTATTTTTTTTTTCCACCCAGGCTTGAGTGTAGTAGCACAATCATAGCTCACTGCAGCCTCATATTCCTGAGCCCAAGTGATCCTCCCACCTTGGCCAGCTAAGGGTGATTTTTTTGTTTCTGTTTTGACAGAATCTCCCTCTGTAGCCCAGGCTAGAGTGCAGTGGCATGACCTCGGCTCAGTGCAGCCTCCGCCTTCTAGGTTCAAGTGATTCTTGTGCTTCAGCTTCTCAAATACCTGGGATTATAGATGGTCACTGCCATGCCCAGCTATTTTTTTTTTTTTTTTCTTTTTAAGTAGAGCTAGGGTTTTGCCATGTTGGCCGGGCCAGTTTTGAATTCCTGGCCTCATGTGATCCTCCTGCTGTGGCCTCCCAAAGTGCTGGGATTACAAGCGTGAG